CTGGTAGCTTTATCTGTTTTCCACTTTTCTCAAAAATTGTAGTTACCTACCTGCCGGTAGGTAGGACATCATTAACCGAAATGTTGTACCCAAACATGGGCATCCCGTTAAACTCAAAATAACCTCATTTCTTTGTACGTCTACGAAACTATGCTGAACGCACTCCCTGCTCCTGATAAGGTACGAATTCATCCTTACTTTCAATTTTTATCTAATTATATAGTGAATTTCGTCTTGTAAACCGCAAACGAAGCATTAACTGAAAAACTTAGTCTTACCGGCAGTGCGAATCCGTCGATCCAAAGGGGGATCTAATTGTCGTGCAGCGTGGTCTGGTTTTGATATGCTTAATCCTCAAGTCTATTCATGTGTTACACTCACTCATCTGGACCCTGCTCGAATTTTCACTTGTTTGGAGACTGAATTAATGACTTCGCTTGTTTGTACTTTTGGCTCTCGACTATTGTTGTTCATTTCTCCGGTTCAAGCATACCCCTGGGAAAATTCCAGGAGTTGAGGTCTGTTTTTATGCAAAAGTGTAAACTTTTATATCTACAGTACGCTACTGTTTGCTACTGCTGTAACCGCACAGGATTTTCTCCATACTGGAATCTTAAAGGATCGTCTTCCACCAACATTTCTCCTTTAGATAGGAACTCCACAGGTAGTGAAATAGAACACACCGGGAAGCTTATAGAAATTCATTTAAAGTGCAACAATCATGGCTATTTATAGAGAAGAGAGAGGACATAGAACTGCGTATTTCAACCGATTGGTTGACCAAATTGTGTTCAACCGTATTGATCGTTTGGTGGTTCTGTCCACTCACCTGAGTTCTGACATCATTGTTCTGATTGGTTGTGCTAGAACAAAGCAGCTTTCAGGATGCAGGCTGACTCCCTGATAGCTTTTGTCTGGAGTCGAATAGACCTCGAGAGCAGTCGGGTTTGGCTTCTTAGGTTGCGTGTAACTCAACATTAGCCTATATAATGGTACGGTATTAACACTGTTCTTCAAATAAATGAAGACTTCTTTATACTGATGTACCGGGAGCCTCCTCCGCTTTCGAGGATTATTCGGTAACGCTAGTCGAAGCAGAAGCAAGTCTGTTTGTTTCGATCCTAGGCGCTTTGACTTTCATGCTCCCAGGACGAATCAATATCAGCGTGACCAACGCTGACTCTTTCCCGGACCACGTGACTGAAACTGAAAATCGTTAACACGAACCCTACCCTCACGTGTCACGGCTCTATTCTTACCTACTCACTATATTGTTAGATTTAAAACCCATACGCAAACTACGAAATCTATTCATCAGTCGCACCACACAGCTTAAAAACTGTCAACAAGTATCCCTTTTCTACATTCATATAACTGCATACTTATGAGGGTAAATTTGTTGCAAACAGCCTTCTTCACTACTTCGTATTTAACCCTAAATGATTTCAGAATTGAATGACTTAAGCGTAAGTCTTTACGAGGTCATGTCATACGTAAACGTTGTATCACATCTCCTGAATGTAGAAGAGTTTGCCTCAGATTTGCATAATTATACTATTCACGGTTTTGCACGATATACCTTCGATTGCACTGACCCGTCTTTGCAGACGTGTTGACTCGTGTGGTCAAAGGTAAACATTTTGCACTTTGCCGAATGAAACCCAATTGGAACAAAAAGCAACAAGCCTTGGTTAAGTCATTGGAATATTTACCACATGAGAACCCAGAACAATTATGTCGTTCAGCGTTCTCGTGCTAATGATTGAACGGTTAACTGTTAACGAATAGGTTACAACTTATTCGTGTGATCCTGGTTAAAACTGTCGTGGATTACGCGTCCAGTATTCAGTCTTGAAATGAGTAATNTAACATCAATTCTACAGGGGACATGATGTATCTCAGTATCTAGTTACATACGTCTTTGACTAAAATGACATCATCTGAATTTGCATAATCTTACCGTACAGTCGGATGAACTGATTGAAATGTAATTTGGTTTTTGTGATAAAAGGACACCACTCCTATCACCGAATGGTCTTTCGATTTTCGGATTGCACGTTATCATCTTTAGCGTAACTTGCGGTAAACTAAAAAAATTCATTCTAAATTTGTACAATACATTGATACCAAGTATACTCAATAAACAGAGTCCACACTGCAAGGCCTAGCAAGCGCTGTAAAGAGCTTTCGTTCTCTTTTATAAGTAATCAAAATTTTATATGCACCAAATCCACTGAGATTCGAATCAGATAGCGGTGGACCGTGAATTTATTTTGCTCATCACCTGTGCTCATCGTAGCTGCCTTCACTACTGATGATTCCGAACAAGGATGAAGCAGGGGTATACTACAACCAAAGTTTTCACTGGTGACTGATACGTTGACTCTGCTCAACAAAAGCACCTTCATAAACAAATATAGATATCGTGAAACGAGGTCGGACAGCAATAGGCATTTGTCACGATAAATCTTCCTGGTAGGCAATCAACAAACGGAGACAATCTTGCGAGCCTAAGCACAAAACATCGGATTGACTGAAGGCACAAAAGGGACCAAACGGGTTACATTATTGTGAACTGAACATCGAAGAATCCATCAATGACTGGTTGACACTTTTGATATTTGTTTTCATCATTTTCTGAATAGAATCAACTGTATTCACAGCTTTTCATGGTTCTAGCTGACTGCGCTATTCGGTGGGAGTCCGAATCCGAGCGATTAGATTCCGAGCGCTAGGTTTACTTTTGTTTTTCAGCTAGACTGCATTCTGTAAAGAACCGTTGGCATCCCAAACATTATGGATAAAAATTCTGATGTGCCAGCCAGTGGGTGAATAAACGAAAACTGGCTGNTCACTACTGTTCTTCCTACAACGTATGGCAGTGCTATATTCGGACATTTATATCTTTGTTTGTTACCTGTTACCTGAGTATACAAACCGAACAAATTAATAGGTCAGCCCAAATTTATAAGTTTATCTGTAATTGCTGGTGGCATGTGCTTTTTATGCACAGGCGAATAGAACAGTTTCTACAACCACGAACCATGCAGTCCCGTGTGCCGGTTTTGGTTTCTGTCGCTTGGGCACCAATTTGGATGAAGCAGTAGCAGAAAGACAGGAATGTTGAAAGAGTCGAAGATAAAATGGAGAATTTCAGTGGGCTAAGGTTGACAAAAAATTGAGAAGGATCACGAACGTCCCTGTTTACTACACTCAGCTAAATCATGCAATCCCTCTAACGACATATTACCCCGATCTCGAGTTCCCGATCCAGGGGGTCTAACGCGATCTCTATGACCGAGTCTCCTGATTAGCGTTTTCATACCCTCGTAACAGCTCTTATTTTGACCCCTCCACCTGAACGCTTTTTCCACTCACTACCTGCCTCAATAAACATCGCGCACCGTGGCAACCTATCTGGTGGAATGCGCAACACATGTCCCAAACAGCGTAATATATGGAGGTTGACCACTTGTTTCAGTTGGCTAGTGCGGTAACCTAGAACTTTGCGCCTCACCTCAGCACTGCTCGTCCGGTTGCCCTAACAGATCCGAACAAGGCTGGGTAGACAT